AAATTGGCTGGCGTGGCTCAGGTTGAGCATCGACCCAGGAACCAAGAGGCCACCGATCCGGTTCCGGTCAGGGCGCACGCCCGGGTGTGGGCGCCATCCCCTGCGGGGGGCGTGCCGATCGGTGATGTTTCTCTCTCATCGGTGTTTCTATCTGTCTATCCCTCTCCCTTCCTCTTTCTCTAAAATCAATAAAAACAGAGAGAGAGCGAGAGCGAGAGCGAGAGCGAGAGCAAGAGAGAGAGAGAGCGAGTGAGCAGGGGGCTGCTCCAGTGAGTCAGGCAGACTCCCCGCCCGACTGACTCCCGCCTTCTCTGGGCCCCTCGCCCCTCCTGCCTGTTCACTCTCGGGGGGCGGGGGGAGCCCGTTGGATCTGGTTGTGCCCAGGTTCCCCCAACACCCAGCCCAGGTCCTTCCGGGGCCCGCGTGTCCCCAGGCAGCCGGGCCTCTCGACAGCCCCCGGTCATTCATTCATTCATCGCCTGCCCGGCCCGAGACAAAGGGCCTCGTGTGTGCAGATGGGCCGCCCTCAGTCCCGGTTCCCCGCGGCCCTGACAGGGAGACATTATGGCTCTGAAACTCCGCTTGCCCCCGCACACCGAGCCCCGAGTTAATTGACGGGGGCGCTGCGGGGGCAGCCAGGACGGAGCAGGACCTGTCCCCCTAACCCCCAGAGGCCGGCAGAACGATCCCCCACCCGGGCAGGACTGAGACCGTGGGCACCCCTGTGTGTGTGTGCATATGTACCCGTGTGCATGTGTGCATGTGTGTGCGTGTGTGTGCGTGTACCCATGTGCATGTGTGTGCGTGTGGAGGGAAGCTGGGTCCCAGGCACAGCTCCACGGGCTCCAGGTCTCAGCAGGTTGGTGCGGAGCTGAGGCGGCACCCAGGGCTCCTGACCACCCTCACGCCCTGTGGGGCTCTGGGTGCAGCGGGCCTCCCAGCCTCTGGAGCCCTAACCCCTTCCTCTTACTGGACCAGCACAGGCCCGACCCTCCCTGGGACCGGGGCCTGGCGTCCTCCCTCAGCGAAGACCCAGGAGGCATGGTCTCACTGCAAGCAGATACAGCCCCGGCCGGTGTGGCTCAGTGGATAGAGCATTGGCCTGCGGACGGGAGGGTCCCGGGTTCGATTCCCGGTCAGGGCACATGCCCAGGTTGCGGGCTCAGATCCCCGGTGGGGGGCGTGCAGGAGGCAGCCGACCCATGATTCTCTGTCACATCATTGATTCTGTCTTCCCCTCCCTCTCCCTTCCTCTCTGAAATCAGTAACAATATATTTTTTAAAAATCTTACACAAAAAAAAGAGAAAGAAAGCAGATACAGAGCAAATAGGACATGGAGGGGGACAGCCAGCAATCCTGACGTCATGGGGGGCCACTCCCCCAAATCCCAAGGAGCCGTACTAGAGGGGCGGGGGGCTGCCAACAGGAGTGGGTATCGGGGGGCCTCCGCTCACACCCGCTCTGCCCAGAGGACACCCCTCCGGTGGCCTGTGGGATGGACTCGGCCAGGTGTGCACACCCATGCATCTGGGGTGAAGCGTGACACCCCACTGCTGTGTCACAGTCACCGGGGGTGTCTGCAGCTGCTGCGTACCCCTCATCGTAGCACATTCTACGGGTTGGTAAGCGGTACCACGTCAGTAACGTGAAATCGCCCACGGGTCCTGGCCGGTGTGGCTCAGTGGATAGAGCGTCGGACTGCAGACTGAAGGGTCCCGGGTTCGATTCCCGGGCAGGGCACATTCCCAGGTTGCAGGCTCGATCCCCAGTAGGGGGCATGCAGGAGGCAGCCAGTCAATGATTCTCTCTCATCATGGATGTTTCTATCTCTCCCTCTCCCTTTCTCTCTGAAATAAATAAAAATATATTTTTTTAAAAAAGGAAAGAAATTGCCCACGGGAGCCGTGCGAACACCATAGCCGTCGGCCTGGGCTGTGAACTGGTTCAGCTCTTTCCCTGAAGAGCCTGTTGCTGAGCGTTTACGGGGCACGGCTCCTCCGCCCGCGGCTCCTGTGGGACCCCCATCACCCAGTGGGCCCCTGCACCTTCCTCACCCCCTCACCACGGCCTCTCCTGTCTTGTTCTCCACAGCCTAGGCGCTGGCT